TGCATGCAGTTACGTCAACTTACGTCAAAGATAACCATGGTTATTGTAGATCTAACCTTACTATGGCACGCTATTCGTCAAATCACGCGACCACAGCGTTTTGAAAACTATCAGAAACAAAATTTCACAAAAAACTGCCAGAAGAAGAGAACGTGATCTTTGATTTATGTGTGAATTCGAAATAGTCTCTATACAAGCGTTCAGATCTTACGGAAACTATACATAGTATGGAGCCAAAGGTAAGTGATTCGAAAATGAAAATGTGACCTTCCTGAATGCCCCTCCTTAAAAAGAATTGTCTGCGTCACTTGGGGACGAAATCCGCTTGTACATGTGATTTCATTTTAGGACACGACTGAACAAACCTTTATCTCAATTTATTTTCTTTCTACTTCAATGATTGACGTTACATTGAATTCCTACTGAGCTAAATACGCATGTTTCAGGTGGCTTAGAACTGGGTGAAAACGTTATGGTTCCAGGAGCACGAAGCATTGGCAGGTGGGCATCCGAGTGAGAGCCTCGCCGAGTCAGCTTTTGAAGGTAAGCGATGAGGATTTTATGGTACATTGAGTTGACTTTCAGTTTAAGCGAATTACATCTTGTATGAAACACGTTTTAGCGACCTTAAGGGAATCAACGCCGCACAAACAAGCATTTCAGCTAAGCATGCAATCGTTAAAATCAAACATGGCAGGCGTAATTTACACTAAGCATGAAAAAAATGTTTCTGAGGGTGAAGAAAATCACGCACAAAAGTTCAACGATCGATTGAGTTTTACCGTGTTAAATTTGTCGAAAACATTCGAACAAAACTGCGTCATGTTTTGTAACGAATCGAATCGAAGTGCTGATCAGATTAGATGCGGGCTTTGTGCGGCGTTACACACCTGGTGTAGGCCGCACGAAAAAGAATAGTCGAGTAGAACTTGTTAGTAATAAAAATTAAACCACTATGTTGTGTTTAGATGTTTATTTATGTCGTCGATAGGATTTTTTTTCCTGAAAAATGCGGCTTCGCTAGATCATTATGTATCATGATATTAGGCGAGATTTCCATATAACCCCATTCATTTATTATGCATAGCGTGCTGCAAAGAAACCTTTATATTTATTCTTTGTGAAATGGAATGCATAATTAATGTATGGAGTTATATGGAACTCTCTCCTGTATTACTATCTGGCGGGTAGGTGATAGCTAAACGAACTTTGCTATCCACCGACAGAGTTTTATCCAGTAGATAGCGTTATTCAACCTTCGAACAACCGGGACCAGAAATATTATCGAAAGTCAAATCGGCATAGGGATAACACACGGATAGAAGAGAAAAACAGAAAATATGATTAAATTGAATTTATTTCTAGAATCTTGCCACAGTCACAAAACAAGGGAATGTGATCATATAGATTGTTTTGGTGGAAATCCGAAGTGGAAAAAATTCTCTTCTTTTTAAAGGATGCGATAAACCCTTATCTTGTCCTTACATAATTTCACTATTTCAATACATTGTAAAACATGCTGTTGATAGGAATTAGAAAGCTATCAGTTAAAGGACTCAGAACACTTTCCTAAACTCTCCTATTTAATATTCATGGAAAAGTGAACCGACTAGATAAGAGAAGATTTACTCTGAACTCTAAGAAAAGGCCAATTTGATTTTCACATCACGCCAGAGACGTATCTTCACGATCACAGTTATATATGTCACGGTTTTTTAATGCCCTCAGAAGTACTAACGAGCAATTTTGAAAGAGAAACCAGTGTTTTCGAGATAAGAATTAGCGATAAAAAAGCACGACGTTTCGACCTCGAGTTGAATCGCACTGTTTGTTTAGTGTTAGTTTGCCTACATTGCACAAAGTTTTAGAATCTTAAGAAAGTGTCAGAATAAATTTAACCGTTGAAATGTTTTTTATCAAAGAACTCAAACTGGCAACACTAAACAAACAATACGATTTAATTCGCAACAAATGTTTTGTTTAGCCGGAGTAGTTCTTGTTATTATTATTCCATTTTTTTCTCTCAAACATTTTTCAACTTTTTCTGCATTTTAATGCTAGTTTAGAAAACTTTTACCCGCTTGAAAATGACCTCGGAGAGGTCGAAACGTCGTGCTTTTTTTATCGCTAATTTATATTTTGAAATCGATCTCTAAGAATATACTTATTGAAATCAGTGCTCATAAAGTATTTTAAAATAGTTGAATGTAATACCCTTGCTTACCTTAAGATGTAATAGGTAATTTTGGAAGTGTAGATAGAAAGTGGAGATGTTAAAAATCGAACGGTAAACTAAATGAATACCACTCTATTAACATTACTAATAATTTTTAACCCAATAAGATTTACAATTTGACCTGGAGGTTTTAGTTAACAGAAAGTTTAAGAGAGATAGAGTGTCACCATAATAGATTTCAGGAACAGTAATCAGAGACAACTTAAACACAACAGAGTTCAATGTACAGGCAAGTGTATGATCATATCATATGATTTAAAGTAACTGAATCTTTCAAGTTTTCTTATTGATATTGTTATTTCATAACAGTGTGTTTCCCCAAGTCAATTGCAACTTTAACTACTGAAGCTATTTAGTTTTAATGACACAATTTTATGTCAAAACACTTCATGGTCTGTACCATTTAATATAATTATCTTCTTGGGCCAGTCTGACAGAACCTGTTTGTTCAAAAGTGACTTAGTATTATCCTTACCAAAAAGGATAGCCTTGAAGTATACTTTAAGTATACTACAAGTATAGTACAAGTATACTACAAGTATACTACAAGTATGCTACAAGTATACTACAAGTATACTACAAGGATACTACAAGTATACTGCATCAATAGTGGTTATACTGCAATCATACTTCAATAGTACTGCACTTACTTAGGTACATCTGCAGTACACTTTCTGAAGTACACTTTAAGTATACTGCTCAAGTGAAAATCATTTTCTCTGTTATTGATGTAGGGTTCAAGTACACTTTAAGTATACTGCTCAAGTGAAAATCATTTTCTTTGTTGTTGGTGTAGGTTACAAGTTTACTTTAAATGTCTCACACAAATGTAAATCAAGTTCAGGTCTTATTAAGTGGGAAATAACTCTATTGAAAAGGTACTACTGCCTCAGTTGATATGACCATATACATTCACACAATCAGATTAGCTGGTTTACATGTATACTGTACTACAAACCAAAAAACACTTGTACAGCAAAGTTACCTCCTCAGAAGAATTATTACACTGTATACTAGCTTACAACTTTGAAAACACCATCCACACACTTGGCTGCATGGCGCATTAACATACATACCCTGAAAAGTCATGCAAAGCTTGACACTAACAGAAGCCAACCAGCCACAAAGTGGAAAAATTCAGTTTTGGCTGGTGGTTTTCAATTATTTTCCACTAGACACTGGCTAGTAAACAAACTAAACTTGACCAAACTAGTTTCTGTCTTTCTTCAAAGAAGGCAGACAAACACCCCTTACAAACTGAATTCCCAGTTTTCTGGAAATTGCGAGGAATTCTCAAAAATTCCCAACTATGCAAATAAGCTCTGATATGAAAAGCTTGGAATTACTAGGAATTTCTGGGAAAGAAAGGTTCCAGTTTTGTGAGGACTTGGAATTCTTAGGAATTCTCAGCTAT